CACACACACACACACACACACTCACATACTCGCTCGTAAGGTATCAAAAATACCGCAAGTTGCGAAATATTTGACGACTTCTCATGATCATGTGACGCCAAATGTGAAGCCGACATCTTCTGCAAACACAATTTGTCATAAACTTTCCATGTCGCTCAACACCGTTAGGACTTTGAAAACTTTCGACAATGACGGACAGACACAACTTATTTCCTTTGTTGTAATGTTCCTTGTAAAGACTGCCAGTGACGCATTCAGAAGTCGTGGTTTGTGTCAGAAGGGAGCTTGGCCGACAACATGACGTCACTGTAACATTTCCTCAACTTTGTCGTCTTTGGAAGAAACAGGAGAACTGTTTTTACTCCTTGCCTGCCTATGACGTTCCTCAAAGGTTTGCAGCTTTGCCTTAGCTGTGTGTTGCCAGTATGTTTGTGTTTCAGAGCTTGTCAATGGCCGCTTGCACTGCTCCCCTCTGTAATTCTGCTGCCCGCAAAAACCTCCCCCCCCCCCACCCGTCTGTTAAGATAGCAAGAATGTCCAACTCTCAGTGCGTGGTTTTCACAAACTGGAAAGGAATGAATGCAGGAGGAAATTTGAGTCACGACGTGAAGGAATCAGGCGCTCGTCAATTTTGGGACATATGGGGTTATCGGTTTCATCTTAAAGCCTGTTCATTTGCCTTGTTTTTGGTGAAAAAACATATCCATTTAGAATAAAATAATTAATAATATTAGAACAATAGAAGTCTAAACATTTGCGATGGAAAGAGATCAGGGTTGCTGGTTTCAGATATGAAATGAGCAAGAAATGGCCGCCAAAGTTTGGTAATTTCAATTGCTTGAGAGTCCTTGGAAACTGAAAATTGACATCATTTTAGTAGCTTTGATCAATGTTTATTAGAAAAGTCCTCACAGAAATGTGTTTTGTAATGGATATATAAGATGTGCCAAAAAAAGGAAAGAAAATTAGAAAAAAAAAATAGCTCAACGGTGAGAAAAGTGACAATTTCATTTTTTGGGGGAACGAGCGCCTCATTTCACCACGACGCTTCACAATTAAGTTATGTTTCCGGACAGTGAATCCTGAAGCCAGGGAATTCTGTCCAGGGTCGGCCTTGTTTTGTACAGAAAACAGAAACAGAAACAAGGAAAACAGAGAGAAAAGTGCAGGGAGAGGAAGCACGACTTGATGAAACGCAAAAACATCGCCCACACACAATTCTCCTCCCTCTTCACGCCACTCGGATTTCCCACACCCTCTCTCTCTCTCTCTCTCTCTCTCTCTCTCTCTCTCTCTCTCTCTCTCTC